TCCCCATTAAGTATGATGTCGGCTGTGGGTTTGTCATATATGGCCTTTATCACATTGAGGTACTCTCCTTCTATACCCATTTTATTGAGAGTTTTTTTTTTTTTTATCATGAATGGATGTTGTATTTTGTCAAATGCTTTCTCTGCATCTATGGAGATTATCATGTGATTTTTGTTCCTCATTTTGTTGATGTGGTGCATCACGTTGATTGGTTTGCAGATGTTAAACTATCCCTGTGTCCCTAGTATGAACCCCACTTGATTATGGTGTATGATCCTTTTAATGTATTGCTGTATTTGGTTTGTCAAAATTTTGTTGAGGATTTTTGCATCTATGTCATCAGTGATATTGGCCTGTAGTTTTCCTTCTTTGTGTTGTCCTTATCAGGCTTTGGTATCAGGGTGATGTTGGCCTCGTAGAATGTGTTAGGAATATTTCCGTCTTCCTCAATTTTTTGGAATAGTTTGAGAAGAATAGGTAATAAATCATCTTTGAATGTTTGGTAGAATTCTCCTGAGAAGCCGTCCAGTCCTGGACTTTTATTTTGGGGGAGGTTTTTGATTACTGTTTCAATCTCTTTACTTGTGATTGGTCTATTCAGATTCTCTATTTCTTCTTGATTCAGTTTTGGGAGCTTGTAAGAGTCTAAGAATTTATCCATTTCTTCTAGATTGTCCAGTTTGTTGGCATATAGTTTTTCATAATGTTCTCTTATAATCTTTTGTATTTCTGTCATATCTGTTGTAATTTCTGCTCTTTCATTTCTAATTTTATTTATTTGAGCCTTCTCTCTTTTTTTCTTAGTGAGTCTACTAAGGGTTTGTCAATTTTGTTTATCTTCTCAAAGAACCAGCTCCTTGTTTTAGTGATCCTTTCTATAGTCTTTTTTGTTTCAATTTCATTTATTTCTGTGTTAATTTATATTATTTCCCTGCTTCAGCTGAGTTTGGGCTTTGTTTGTTCTTCTTTTTCCAATTCTGTTAGGTGTAGTTTAGGATTGTTTATTTGAGCTTTTTCTTATTTGTTGACGTGGGCCTGTGTTGCTATAAATTGCCCTCTTGGGACTGCTTTTGCTGCATCCCATATGAGTTGCTATGGTGTGTTTTCGTTCTCATTTGTCTCCAAGTATTTTCTGATTTCTCCTTGTATTTCTTCAAGAACCCGTTGGTTGTTCATGTAGCATGTTGTTTAGTCTCCACAGTTTTGTTCCTTTCCCTGTTTTTTTCTTGTAGTTGATTTCTAGTTTCATGGCATTATGGTCAGAGAAGGTAGTAGATATGATTTCAATCTTCTTAAATTTATTGAGGTTTGCCTTGTTTCCCAACATATGGTTTATCCTTGAGAATGTTCCATGTGCACTTGAGAAGAATGTATACTCTACTTTTTGAGATAGAGTACTCTCTGTATATCTATTAAGTTCATCTTGTCTAGTTTTTCATTTAATCCCACTCTCTCCTGTTGACTTTTTGTCTGGATGATCTATCCATTGAAGTAAGTGGGGTGTGAGGTCCCCTACTATTATTGTGCTGTTGGTAATATCTCCTTTTAGGTTTGTTAATAGTTGCTTTATGTACTTTGGTGCTCCTGTTTTGGGTGCATATATCTTTATGTGTTATGTCTTCTTGGTGAAGAGACCCTTTTATCATTATATACTGCCCCTATGTCTCTCTTTACCTGTTTTATCCTGAAGTCTATTTTGTCTCATATAAGTATGGCAATATCTGCTTTCTTTTGTTTGCCATTAGCTTGGAGTATTGTCTTCCATCCCTTCATTCTGAGCCTATGTTTGTCTTTAGAGCTGAGATGTGTTTCCTGGAGGCAGCATATTGTTGGGTCTTGTTCTTTAATCCATCCTGCCACTCTGTGTCTCTTGATTAGAGAATTCAGTCCATTTACATTTAGAGTGATTATTGATATATGAGCACTTAATACTGCCATCTTTTTTTTTCTTTTGAGGAAGATTAGCCCTGAGCTAACTGCTGCCAATCCTCCTCTTTTTGCTGAGGAAGACTGGCCCTGAGCTAACATCCTTGCCCATCTTCCTCTGCTTCGTATGTGGGACGCCTATCATAGCATGGCTTGCCAAGTGGCGCCATGTCCGCACCCAGGATCCGAAGTGGTGAACCCTGGGCTGCCAAAGCAGAACGTGCACACTTAACCACTGCGCCACTGGGCGGGCCCCATAATACTGCCATCTTATTGCACATTTTCTGGTTTTTCTGCATATCCATTGTTTCTTGTCCCATGTATATCGGGCTACTGATTTGATTAGGTATCTTTCTATGTTGGTTTTCTTCATTTTCTCCTTGTTTATCGTATATGTCTCTGTTCTAATTGTTTGTTTAGTGGTTACCATTAGGTTCGTATAAAAAGTCTTGCAGGTGAGACAGTCCATTTTCTGATTGCCTCTTATTTCCTTAGACTATACTGATTCCATTCCTTTCCTCTTTCCCTTCTAAGTTATTTTTGTCATATCTTATTCCACCTTGTGTTGTGCATTTGTGGTTAAGGTGTTGATATAATTTTTATTTTGGAGTTATCCTTTTCTTTATCCTTGATGTAAGAGTTAAGTGTTTACCAACTGATCTTATAGAGAGCTGCCAATTTCTGATTGGTGCAGACTTGTTCATCTCCTTGCTCAGGCTTTGTAGCCCCTTTCCTGCTGTGTTTTTTTTTCCTTGCAGGTATGAGGGCCTTCTTGAGGATTTCTTGTAGGGGGGTGGGTCTTTTGGCAATGAACTCCCTTAGCTTTTGTTTATCTGGGAAAGTTTTTATTTCTCTGTTGTATCTGAAGGAGATTTTCACTGGATAGAATATTCTTGGCTGAAAGTTTTTGTCTTTCAGGATTTTGAATATACCCTTCCACTCTCTCCTAGCTTGTAAGGGTTTCTACTGAGGAATCTACTGAAAGGCTGATAGGGGTTCCTTTGTAAGTTATTTTCTTCTGCCTTGCTGCCCTTAATATTTTTCCTTTGTCATTGACTTTTGTCTGCTTTACTAATATATGCCTTGCAGTGGGTCTTTTTACATTAACATAGTTGGGAGTTCTGATAGCCTGTTTCACGTGGATTTCCATCTTCTTCCACAGATTTGAGAAATTCTCTGCTATTATTTCTTTGAACAAGCTTTCTGCTCCATTCTCCTTCTCTTCCCCCTCTGTAATACCTATATGTTGCATTTCCTAATTGAGTCAGACATTTCTCTGAGAGCCTCTTCATTTCTTTTTAGTCTTAGTTCTCTCTTCTCCCTCTGAAGCATTTCTATAGTATTGTCTTCAAAATTGCTAATTCGATCTTCCATATTGTCAGTTTTGTTGTTTAGGGAGTCCAGATTTTTAAAAATCTCATCCATTGTGTTTTTTATCTCCAACAATTCTGATTGGTTCTTCTTTAAAGTTTCAATCTCTTTTGTAATGAAGCTCCTGAATTCATTAATTTGCCTTCCTGTGTTTTCTTGTAACTCATTGAGTTTTTTTATGATAGCTATTTTGAATTTTGACATTTTGACAAAAGACATTTTGAATGTCTTTGTCAGGTTATAGATTTCTGTGCCGCTTTCTGGGTACTTGTCATTTTCCTTTTGGTCTGGAGATTTAATATACTTTCTCATACTGCTTGATGGTGTGGATTTTTGCCTCTGTGTGGTGTTATTATCTTGTCACTGCTGCCACATACCTTCAGTGGATGGGGCTCAGGCACTGTGAATTCTGGGCCCAGCACGATCAGGTGCTCCCCAGCTCTGGCCACTAACTGCTTTTCTCACTGTGCAATGCTCTGGCCAATGGCAGATTTGGAGCACTGGGCGGGGGGGAGGGGTACTCTCCTTCCCCTGTGCTTCCCCTAGCCTCAGCTTCTCTCTCCATGTGGTGCTCCTCATGATTGTGTGGCTGGAGCACAGGGCTGGAGCACCAGGTGGGAACAGGTCACCTCTCCCCAACTGTGCACCCTCCCCCCCAGCTGGCCCCTCTCTCACTGTGGTGCTTTCCTGGCGAACGTGGGGCTGGAGCATGGGGCTGGAGTGCTAGGCAGGGATGGGGCACCTTTCCCCAGCTGTGCACCTCCCCCAGCTGGCGCCCCCCTCACGGCACCATGCTCCTGGCGAACATGGGGCTGGAGTGCAAGGCTGGAGTGCCAGGTGGGACTTGGGTGCCTCTCCCCAGCTGTGCACCTCCCCCAGCTGGCCATCTCTCTCACTGTGCTGCTCTCCCAGCTGGCATCTCTTTCTTGGACTGTGGTGATTAATGGTTACTGTAGCTCCAGATCATGTCCTTGCTTATCATGCCTTGATGACACGACTGTTCTTAGGATGAAGTGTGACACACCATGCCCTCCAGGACAGCATCCCTGCTCACCTCCTCACCTCCTCCTGCCTCCTGAGCCCCACTCATGCTTTGGCCACTCTGGCCTGCTGGGCATTCCCTCGCTGAGCCGTCCCCTGTCATATCCCCATGCCTTTGTTCACGTGGCCCAGGAGCTGGGCATGCCCTTCTGGAAACTCTCCTGCCCTCCAGGATGGCACCCAAATGCCCTCATCTGGGAAGGAGGCTCCTCTGATCAGTCATCAGAACTGCGGATGCCCCCAGTGCGCCTGCAGTGCCTCACTCATGCCACAGTTGGAGACAGGCTCAGCCAACAATGCTGGAGCCCAGGGCTGACTGTCCCTCTGTTAGGACCCCAGAGGCACCTTGTCCCAGGAGCTCGTCCTCAGGTCACCAGGGCCAGAGATGTGATTGTGTCCTGCCTCCAAAGGCCCCTCCCTGGCGCCCTCAGCCCAGCATTTTCTGCAGTCCCAGCCATCCCTCCATGGTGGAGGCGCCTCCTCATGAGACCCTGTGTCCCTTGTACACTGGGATCCAGGCTCTCCACTTCCCAGTGCCCAGTGCTTGGCTTGGCCCAGAGCAGGTGCGCAAACTGTGTAGTGAGCAAATGGATGAATGCAGCAAGGAGTGAACCAGGGCGAACCGGTCCTCAGGCGCCCATTTTCAGTTCAAACCTCATGCATACTGACACATAAAACCAATTTTATTAATTTCCAGCAAGGGTATGTCTGTCTTCCTCAACAGGAACCTTCTTTTTGGCCAGAGACCAGGGCTCTCTTTCAGAATAAAGGGAGGCCCACTCTCTGACTCTCATGCTACCTTTTTAAATACCCAACAGAGACTCTGCCCGGCCAAGGCATAACCATGCTGGTAGCAGGAAAGGCTGTGGGGCTGGGACACCGTCGGCTGTGTTTGAGTTCCCGTTCCAGCCCTGACTTTGCCGTATGATGCTGGGCAAGTCATTTCTCCCTGGGCCTCAGTTTCCTCATCTGTCTAATGGATATATCCATCCTTGCCCGACTGGGAAGGGATGCAGAGAAAGAGCTAATTCACTCGGCTCCAGGTGCAAATACATCCCTGTTTCAAGAACCCTGGGCTGTTTGGCTGGGCAGCTGGTCGTGGGTGGAGAGTGGGGGGTGGAGGGTGGGGAATGGACGGACAGAGGGATTCTCATTCTCCAACCTTCTATTCCACAGCTCAGAGCCTCTGGGGATGGCTCCCCACTGGGAGGGTGACAAATACCCATCTCAGGCACGTGTCATGTGACCACTCGGAGGGGCCTGCTAGGATCATGGAGTTGAGAAAAATCTAAGGCCGTGTCTAATGTCTGCCTTAAGGGCCAGAGGGCCGGGAAGCGGCATACACTTCACATGTGTGCCAGCCATAAGGGCTCCTCCTCAGAGTGGCGTTTGAGCCCCAGACTCATCTTTTCTCCAAGGGGTGATGAGCTCAGGATCTGCAAGCCTGTCTTGGGGCAGAGGAGCAGGTTTCCCGGGTGTGGCCCCAGAAACAGGACTGAAATCACGGAAGCAGATTCCCCTCATCTTTGTTAGGAGCTGCCTAACATTGTAGTGAGCTCCCTGTCGCTGGAAGCATTCAAGCAGAGGCTGAACAACTTGAAAGCAGGAGAGGCAATTCCTATTCAGAGATGGCGGTGCGTAGATCCCACTAGATGATCTCGAAGGCAGCTTCCAGCCCTCGTGTCCTTGGACTCGGTGGCCATGTGAAGGGTTCTCAGTGCCATTCCAACCAGCCTCCCGCTCTGGCCTGCGTGGCCTCTCAGGGTCCAGGACAGGAGTACTCGTCGGACCAGTCAGAGCAGTGCTGCACATGGTCCCGGCAGAGGCTCCTCGGGATGCAGCCGCAGAACCTGAAGACGGTCGAGGGGCAGCGCCACCACCCAGGGCCACAGGGCGGGCACACTGCGGGGAAAAGAGCCGGCAGAAGAACAGCTGCTGCGCCCCGGACTGCCCGTGCACCAGGGCACTCCCTAGCCCTGAAGCCTGCTGTAGCTGCCCACAGCCCCACTCCATCTGACATGGCTTGACTGTATTCCTTATTTCCCTGAGGGAGAGAGAATCTAGACTCCCCAACTCACAGGCTGTGTGACCTCAAGCAAGCCTCTCACCCTATCTGAGCCTCAGTTTCCTCATCTCCTCAAGGCTGTTATTCAGGAAGATAGGCCAAGTGCCAGGCATACGATCCATGGTCTAATATTAGTGGGAGCTCATCGGCTCCCCAGCCCATCCTCCCTCCCTCAGCCGAACTCAGCCTCATCAGGGTCCCAAGGGGGCCTCACGGACTTCCTTCCTTCCCCCTGTGCCCTGGGCCTCCAGTGGTCTCCCCTGCACACCCGCATGTGGGTGTGGAAACCCTGCCATTCTCTGAGGCCTGCTTGAGCACTGCCTCTTCTGGAAGTCTCCTGGATTCTTACTCCCCCTCCCAAAGAACAAAACCTCTCCAGGTCCCCAGCACTTCCTTTTGGCATCAGCATGAAGTGGTTCCTGGGGATAGGACGCACGTTTGACTCCTGACTGTCCCCCAGCAGAACCTGGCACCAGGCCCAGCCCCTAACAGTGCTCAACATGTTTGTTGATTGAACGCTCGTGAAGAGATTGAAAGGACTGTCTGGGGCAGTGAAAGAGCTCCAGATTTGGGGTCAGGAGTCCAGGGTTTACACTCAAGCTCCCTTCTGATCCCTCACGGTAGAAAGTACTTTCTCCTCTCTGGCCTCAGTTTACCTACATATGAATTGGGGCCAGTGATTCCTGCCCTGCTTCCCTCACAGGGTTGTTGGGAGGTTGGTTGGTGAGGGAAACCCAGGTTCAGATGCCAGTTAGGCCGTGTATGCACTCCTCGCATGACCACCCTCTGGGTTTCCCTATCTGTGCCATTGATGATAAGTTCCTCACCACAGAAGAATCACCCTCCAGGAGCCACTTAGTATGGTAGTGAGCACCCCACCACTGGAGGCATTCAAGTGAGGTGGAAAACTTCTTCCTAGCCTGCAAGAAGGGGATGCCTGGGGAACCTCAGAGATTCCTTGGTCAACCTCTGCCTTCTGGCCACTGCCTGGCCACCTGCCCCAGCCCAGCCTGTGCCCAGACCCCCACCTGGACTCAGTTCATCCGAGCAGTCCCCGCAGTTGTTGGTCCCATCACACTTTTGGTCCGAGTAGATCCAGGAGGCCGGGTGTCCACAGTGGGCCACGAGGAAGCGGGGGAGGCTCTGGGGCACATCTCCTACAGAGGCACAGGCAGGAGGAAGTCCACATCCGGCCACAGCTGTCTCGGGGCCATCTGAGGGTGGATGGTCCTCCCACCCCGGCAGTTGCCAAAGTCGGGGCCCCGCCCAACCGTCCAGGAAGGGCACGGGAGAGGGTCTCCTGGGGAGGAGGTCGAGCTGAGGGAGAGGAGGGGTCTTCCCTGCACACCCACCAAGAAGCCCAGAGAGCCGCCCCCCTCCCCCTTCCTTCCTCAGCTCTGGCACGTTTGCACTATTCCTCCCTCCAGAAACGTCCTCCTGGACACCTCTCCAAAACCATTCCACCTTCCAGTCCAGGTTCAAGTTCCTCCACCTCCAGGAAGCCTCCTCCAACCGGAACATAACGAGAGTAAACGTGAATTCTCGCCCTTGGGTCCCAGAGCTCAGGGGGTGTGGGTTCAGGGACGCTGCGAGAGGGCGTTGGAGCACCCTTCTTGAAAGCGTGTTCTGTGTTAGGCAGCAGCGTGCCAGCGCTACCAAAAATTATCACAAACTCAGGCCACCACTATAGAGTCAGCCAAACTATAGCCCAGACTAGGGAGGGGAAAGCCTTTGTTCCTTGAACTGGCCAGAGCCAGACAGAAGTGTCATGGATGCTTCTGGAGCCTTTCCAGGCAGAGGGACATGGACAGTTGGGACGTATTCTGTGGAGTAGGGAAGACCAATCACAAGGGGGACGACTGTGGAGTCCAGAGTGGGGCCTGGGAAGGAGACATTCACGGGGGCAAGAAAGCTGTCTGCAAATCCATGCAGTGCCACCGTCACGGGACAGAGATTTGAGTGTGGTTTGTGAGGTGGGGGTCGATGAGAGGGCAGAGTTGGAACCCACCAAGGATGCACCTGTGAGGCAGCTCTAAACTCGGTAGGAGGGAGACATGGGAATGGAAAAACCAGGCAATCATGGGAGCAGCTGCCTCAAGTCGTAGTGAGCTCCCCATCCCAGGAGCATGCAAGCAGAGGCTGGGTGGCTTCTGTCGGGTTTGTTACAGAGGGGATTTGGGCGTGAGCCAGGACATGGATGAGATGACTTTTAAGATCTCTTCTAGTCTTGAGGGTCCATGATGCAACGACCCACCCCCACCCCACCCCCTGCAACCCACCAGGCTCTCTCCCTCCTACACGGAAAGTGCTCCTTCCAGGGAGCCGTGGCTCCTCTCTCCTGAGAACTATCAGGTCTCTCAGGTCTGGGGCCAGATCTTCCCATTCATTCATTCACCCGCTCATTCTATCATTCAGGCAGATCATTCTGGACACCCCTCTGTGCCATGCCAGGCACTGGGGCCCCAAGATCAAGCAGACCAGGTGGCCCCCAAGGAGTGCACAGTCTGATGGGGGCAGCAAACATGCCAATCGAGAGGGACAGCCACTGTGACTAGGGCTGGGACACAGGGAAGCAGAGGGGCTGAGGGAGCTCAGAGGAGGGACCCTAACCTAGTGTAGGAGTCAGAGAAGGCTTCCTGGTGGAGGTAACACTTGAAGTCTGCCATGAAGATTGGATACAGGTTCTCTGGACATGGAGGTGCACAGAGTGAGACATTCCCTCACGTGGGCATGTGTGTGTGCCTGCGACTGAGACAGGGGTGAGGGCAGGAGTTCCCGGCTGAGGGGCACCACATAAGCAAAGTCTTGGGGACATGAAGGTACCTGGTCTGTGCAGCGATGATCAGGGTTCAGTATGTCTGCAGGGAGAGTCCAAGTTGGGGGACGGGAGGAGGGCCCGTCGGGGCAGGGGCGGGACCCGGCAGGTACTCACGGCACAAGGCCTCGTCCTCGTCCTCGCCATGGGCACAGGTGCGGATGCCGTCACAGACCCCGTGGGCCGGGATGCAGCTCCTCCGGTCATGGCACAGGAAGCCCGTCCTGTTCTTCGGTGTCACACAGGCCTGGGCCCCTGAGCGGCAGCGGGGACCCCAGAGGGTCACAGGTGGTGCTCACATGGACATCTCCAGATTCCCGCACCTGAGCCCCACCCTGGGCTGGCCTGCCAGGCTGTGACAGCAGGGAGGATACTGGGCTCGGTGCCGGAGATGGGGTCCAAGCCTCAGCTCTAAGGCTTGCCAGCGGTGTGACCTTGGGCGGGTGACTCGACCTCTCTGAGCTTCAGCTTCCTTGTCTGCAAAGTGGAGACCACGGCACACACCCCAGAGGACCATCGAGGAGCTTACATAAAAGCTTCTGTGTGAATAATCGCAGAACATGGAATGTGCAGAGTCAGCCACAGTACCCTGCTTTCCTGGGAAGCTCCTGAGGACGGGCTCGAGTCAGCAAGCAGTGGAGCTCCTGGTGCCGGGTTAGCTTGTCAGAGCAATCTATGGGGCTGGCTGGGGACCGTCAGGCCGTCAGGCCGTAACCCCTACATCCGGGCACAGCTCTACAGGGTGCAGAGCACTTCCGTGTTTTTAGTCTATTTCCCCCAAACACCCCTGTGAGGTGTCATCATTCGCCCCACTTTATAAATGGGAGGAGAGAGACGCAGAGCCGGGCGCCAGCCGAGGCACGGCTGCCGCCCCAGCGTCCGGGAACGGTGGGCAGCAAGGAACACGCCCGTCCTTCTGAGAGCCTGCCTTCCGCCCAGTGCAGGGAACACCCGCCCCAGGGCCGCCCCAAAGAGCGCAAGGAGAGAAACGGGCAGACGAGCCAGCGGTCGCCCCTGCTCCACAGGCTGTATGTGTGTGTGCATGAGTGTGCAGGATGGAGATGGGAGTGGGTTTGTGCCTGTGCGTCTGTGCACGTGTGAACCACGTCTCCGCTCCCGGAACTGTCTCAGCTAGTGTGAGGGGGGATGACTCTCAGAGACACTCACGTTGTCACACACACACACAGGTGCACACACAGGCACACACACATACACACATTGATGCACTCACACATACACAGATGTGTGCGCACACATGTGCACACCCACAAACGTGTGCATGCATACATAGACACACGCACATCCAGACACCTGCATACACACTGACACACACAGACACACTCATGGACACACATGAACACAGACAGACACGTGTGTGCACACAGGAATGTGACTCCTCATGTTGTTCACATCTACCCTCAGTGCCCGTGCTAACACACACACACACACACACACACACACACACCTGGCTATGGAGCCGCCTCTCAGACAGGTGGCTCTGGTGACCCCCTCCCCCAGCTCACCTCCTCCCAGGCACTCTGGGTGGAATCTCCGCCTCAGGGCAACCTTGAGGCCCTGGGCACTGGCCCCGCCCCTGCTCGTGCCCTCCGTGCCCACTGGGCATCTCTCCGTCTCTCCTTCTGCTCACGTTTCCTCCCTGGGGACGCTGCACTTGGTGCTCCCTCTTCCTGGGGTGCTTTTCCTGCCTCCCTCCGCTAACCAGTTCCCACTTTCCCTTCACGCCTCTCACTTCTCAAGGTGCCCACCCTGACCCTTGGCCCTGTCAGAGCCCTGTTCCAGACTCTCAAGGCCCCGTTAACCTTGCCTGATGCACTTATTTGATCAACGTTCATGTCGCTCGCCAAACTGCTGGCCCCCTGAGGGCAGGGGCTGTGCTGGGGTTTGCTGCGGCTGCAGGGATGTACTGGACAGGCCCCTGTCCTCTATGGTGGAGGCACACACACAGTTGGACGGCACCACCCTGGACAACAGGCCAGGGGAAGAAGAAGTGTGGGGACTCTGGGGACCAAGACAAGGCTTCTAACCCAGCTTGGGTCAAGGAAGGCTTCCTGGAGGAGGCAGACCATAAGAGCTGGGTCCTCTCAACAGCTCACATTACAGATGTGCAAATGGAGGCTCAGAGACGTATATGTCAGTGTGTGTGCCTGCATCTGTGCACACACCCTAAGGAATTGTCCAAAAGTCACTTCATGGAGAAGTCAGGCATTCCCTCCCAGCCCCATTCCCTCCCAGCAAGTCTGACCCCACCCTCTCTTGACCACCCTGACCTGGTGTCCTTGGTGGGGGTCCACAAATGGCAACCAGGGCGATCAGGGCCGCAAGAGTGGCCAGCAGGAGCAGCAGGATGGCAGAGACACAGGCCCTTCGGCGCGAGCAGCAGAGCGGGCTGCAGTCGGCTGTGTGGGGCGGGAAACTGGTGATGGAGCAGACAGTGCTGGGCCCAGGGACGCCCCCTCCTCTGTCAGACAAGTGGTCCCTCCCCGCTGGGGGTCTTGGGGCAGGAAGGGCTTCTCTGGATGTCGGGACTCCTGAGCCGCCATGACGCTCTCAGTTCTGCCTGAGGGCCCACCCGCCCAAGGCCGCCCTGGCCTGGGTCCAGTAGCTGGTGAGTGGTGGTCAGGAGAGGGTCCCTGGTCTCCGGCCCTTCCGTGAGGCTGTCTCCTCAGGAGGCAGGGAGCGTGCACCCACGCTCATGGAGCCCACCTGGGGAAGATCTGAAGCAGGCCCTTCACAGCAGGTATTTTTATTTTTCAAAACAAGCTTCATTTTATAGATGAGGAAACTGGGGCTCAGAGAAGGAAAGGTCCAGGTCACCTCGTGTGGCGTTGGGATGTGAGTCCACACCTACTTGCCGCCCAAACCAGTGCCCCCTCCACGATGCCAACTGACAGTGCACTCTGCAGCCCGCCACTATGCTGGCTGGAATCTCAGCTCCACTGCCTGCCAGCTGGGCCACCCGGAGAAGTCACTTTACTTCTCTGTGCCTGTGCCCTCACATGGAAAATGGAGTCATGATAGCTGCCTTAGAGGCGTTGAGAGGCTCGAGCCAGCTGACGTATTAGAATGGCACTTGGCGCATAGTAGGTGCTAGAAGGGCTTTAGCTGTCATAGTGTTTGCTGACACCTGTGACGTGCTGGGCTGTACCCGCCACCTGTGGGAACCATGGCAAGAGGAGACGCCGCCTCCTCCACCTCACTCCGCCCCTCTAACTTCTGCTTGCTGGTGAAATAACGAAAGGAAGCTTCGTTAGGGATCTGGGAGGTGCCCCGCTCTGCAGAGGACACGGGAGCAGTCGCAGCTCTGGTTCTTCCCCCAAAAGCTCGTGGTGGCACTTGGAAGACAAGGCAGACAGGTGGAAAGGAGGGTGTGGGCACCACAGTTGCTGTGGGGCCAGGGCTGTCTCAGAGAGGGGCAGGAGCAGGGCTGACAGGCACACAGTAGGTGCTTTGTGAATTCTCTGACCCAGAGATCCAGGGGACAAGGGAAGGCCTGGCCCAGTTCAGGACAGTTTGGGTGATTTCTATCCAGTCCACTCACATATCTGAGCTGCCTGCTTTGCACTCACCGGCCAGTCAGACCTGTACCCGCACCGGCGGCTCGCAGGGCCAGGTGGGGAGTGTAGGGAAGAGAGTGTGAGCAAGGTGCCAGGCTGCTCGGAGGAGGGCGCTGCCACAGATAGGGAAGGGAGGGTGCAAGGAGAGGGTGTTCCATGGCGAGCGTAGGAGGAGAAAGGCCTGGTGGATGGCAGCCGGGGGACAGCAAGTGCCTGGCGTGCCTGGAGCCCAGGGTGGGTGTGGAAGAGGAGGAGATAGCAGGAGATGCAGCATGGATTTCAAATGCATAGAATTCCCACAGCCCTGGGTAGGGGCCCCCTTGTTGGCGGCAAACACAGGGCCAAGTCAGGTCACCAGGGAGACAGCGTGAAGCGGGGCAAGGAGAGGCGTCCTGCTCAGCCAGCAGCCACTCCTCAAATATCTGTGCAGCCCAGGCCTTGGGCAAGGTGGGGTCGCAGCCGAGACTCGAGGCAGACCTGGCAGAGGCGAGGCCCACGCCCGGGTGAAGGAGCCTCATGTCAGAGCCAGGAAGCCCCTAGGTGCCGACTCCCCGGACAGACAGGAAAGGACGCCATTTGTTGCACAACCACACCCACCACGGGCCAGGACTTGGAGTAAACAAACGCCAGTGTGGAGCAACAGAGGCCCCGGGGATCTTCAGCCAGAGGGACCCCAATGTGAATTTGAACCCCACCTCTCCCACTCCCCAGCTGTGCAGGAGCCCAGCTTGGCCGAGTTCCCCAGCCTCTCTCAGCCTCAGCTGCGCCATCTGTGACTGCCCCAGAGCAGGAACCCCTCTCAGAGCTGCCCTGAGGATTAGAGGAGACCCTCGAGCCTTTGTAATGAGCATCGCCCCTTGGGCTCTGTGTCGTCGCTGAGCCAATGTGGGCCAAGACAGGGCACATCGTAGACACTCCACAAATGTCTGTTCTTTCCTTCCTTTATTCCACAGAGGGAAAGAGGACCGTCCTGGCTGCACGCTGAGTCAATGGCACCAGAAGGTGCTAAATAAGTGTGTGATTGCGCCTCCCTGACGCCTCAGAGGTAAAGAGAACCGCCCTGGTCACCCACTGAGTTGGGGATTTGACATGGGAGCTCTTCCCTGGATAGGTTACAGGTGGCACTGCATGTGTGCAGCGCCTGTGAGGTAGGCAGCATACAGCAGGTGCTCCACAACTGCTTGCGCATGGAGAGAATGAACACCCCTGTGAGCAGGTGGCTGTCAGCGTGGCCGGCCAGGAAGATGGGAGTGGACAACATCAACACGGGGCAGAGGTCAGGGGACAGCGGGAGCCTTAGGAGCCCTCTTTGTGCCTCTGTAGCAATGGTCCAGGCCCAAGGGCGACCCACCAGGGCCCAGGCCCTCCAGGCCTTACCTTCCCCTCCCGGGCGGGCTTTGGTTCCAGCAGCAGAGTTGCCATTGCCTTCCCCCTGCCGAAGAGAACAGAATGAGGGGTGGGCTTGGGTAGGGGAGGTCCAGCCTCAGGGAGCCAGACAGACGAGTGTTTCAGAAGGGTCACTGAGAGCCCGAGGTGGAACCCTGGCCCCCACACCCCAGCATGCAGACGCCCCAAGCTCGTCATGCCCACTTCGCATTCCCACACCTTTGGCCACATGGTGCCCTCTGCCCGGAATGCGTTTTCCTCCACTGTCCACTTGCAAACATTCATCCTTCAAACCAGCTCAGGCGGCCCCCCATGATGCCGCTTGCTCCCTCCCCTGGCCTCCTGCCTCCCTCCCGGCACAGCCACCTGAACTGTGTAGCTGGTGCATCTGTTGGGTCCCCTACAACCTGGGGCTGAGTCACCTCAGCGGCTCCCCCCTCATGGCCCACCCCTTCCCCAGACTGACCTCCCCAGGTGGGAGTCCGCTCAGGGCAGATCTAACCTGGGGGGAGATCCTGTTCATGTCTGTGGCTCCCAGCCCCAGCTCCAGTCCCGGCACCAGGGAACTCAGCGAGGTTTCTCTGCCTGGTCACCAGGGGCAGCCTGGAGGAGGGAGGAGGGGCCTCACCCGGCCACACCCTCCCTGCGGGCAGTCCCCTCCCAGGCTGCCTTCCTGGTAGGGGAAAGGCGGAGGGCGCCCCCCCCAACCCCGCCCCTACCCCCCGCCCGCGCCTGCCCGGCCCTCCCCACTCTGGGTCTGGGGGCGACACTCCAAGGTTGGAATCCTCATCCCCAAGTTACAGAGGAAGGGCCTGAGGTCAGAGAGGGAGCACCTACTCTCGGGTCACACAGAGCCGGGGAGGGGTGAGGTTTGAACACACGCACTTTTTAGACATGCTTTTTCCTCCACATCAGTGCTGAGACCAGAGGATCTCAGGGCCCCAGCTGCACGAAAAGCCAGGCAGAAACACCCAGGATTAACACTCTGGTGGCTAAAGGGCAGGGGTCATTTTCTCACTGACAGTCTTCTCTTCAATTAAACAGGGAATGGAGGTGGAAAGAATATGCATTTTCCATGAAAATTATAAAACAAATATAATCTTAAATTATTTTCTTCAAAGAAGTGGCCATGCGCGTTTTAATTGTTCCGGAGATGGTGCCTGTGATGGGGGGAGGGGGGCAGGGAGCTTACCTGACTAGCCCCTTCTGCCACCCCTGCATCCTCACCCCACTGCTGAGGAGACCAAGGCCCTGGGAGCTGAAGGGACTGGTTGGAGGCCCAGGACCAAGGAAGGGGATGTGTCCACCTCCAGAAATGAGGGCTCCAGGGCGCGTCCCTCTGCGGTCTGCCTCTGATACCCACGGGTGTCTAACCTGTCACGGGCCTTTTCCGGTGCATTGGGATATAAACTGCTGAGTCTCCGGGGTGGGGGTGGGATGGGTAGACGCAGGGGCAGCCCTCAGGAGGCAGCAGCACCGGGAAGAGCTAAACCATAGGTGAGGACAACGGTGCTCTCATGAGGGCCCTGCCACAGGCTCCGTGTGGGCAAGCGGCTCCCCTTCTCCGAGCCTCAGTTCTCTCATCCATAAAATGAAAGGATTAGACTAGATGAAGGGGGTGTCTTAGTTTGGGGATCCCCATAATCAGAGCCCAGGACCAGATCTGAAGGCAAGTAGGTTTAATTGGGAGTGACCCCAGGAAATGCCCGCCGGGGAGTGAGGGAAGCGAGACAGGCCAGACAGTGAAGGGAAGGATCCATAAGAGGCGGGTTATCAAGCACGTTCCCACTGTGGGCAAGTGGAACTTTCTCCTGCCAAGGAATTCGGGGAGCCGGAGAGAAGATGAGCCTGAGAGTCACCCCGGGAACTGGGGTATTTATTTGCCAGCTCTTGCCAGTCATTGGCTGAGGATTGCCGGAGGGTGTTGATTCCTGGCACCACTGACCTGCTTTAGGCAAAGAAGTGCCAGTGTTGGCAGCTGCAAGCTAAGCTGACGTGCCCTGAAAAGGAAAGGGCTGAGGGTTACGGGCAGGGCACCCATGGCATCTGCTAAGGAAGCTACCTGGGTTTCATCTTGCATGCCGACTGCAAGTGATTGGCAGAGGATGTCTGGAACATGCAGCTCAGAGGATTCTGAGGTCAGGACTCAGGGTTTGCGATTGACTAGTGATGCCTGCCACGGGTGTCAGAGTGGAGAGCAGAATCCTACGTGAGACCATTTTGCATTCTTGGGCCAACTCATGCCCTTCCACCTCTGGCCTTCCTTGACTCTGTGATTCTCTAGCGTTCCTTTATGAAAAGACTCTTCAGGGATGTGAGATGTCCCTTCCTCTGGACTCTGCTCCAGTCCAGGTACAGCTGCAATCGCTGTGCTGGAAGCATAGGGTCCCTCCAGCTCAGGCCAAGAACCCTTGAGCTAAGAGCAGCAGGAGGGCCCGGCAAGGAGGAGGAGGGGACCTGTGCTCACGCTGACTTCCTGGTGTCACCGCAGGTCATGCCTCGGGGAGAAAGGACTTGGGCTGCATCCTCCCACCTCCACCTCCACCTTTCCGGGCTCGCTTGACCTTGGCTGGGCCTGCTCAGGCCACGCAGGGGAAGCTTCTAGCAGGAGCAGGAACTTTGGCTAGTCCAAAGGGTGCCACCACTCGCTGTGTGACCTCGCTGAGCTTCAGCTTTCTCACCCAACTCTCTAAACTTTTTGCCCACTCAATCCTGAAGAAAGGTGGTGTCCCAACAAATGGACCTCTCTATCCTCCCCCCTCCCCCCACACCCCACACCCAACCCCCCACCAGGCCCACGCCCCCCTCTTGCTCCAACCTCTCCCTTCCACCCCTCTCCCCTCCCCTGGAAAAAGGTTTTAACAACTTAAGAAAAATACAAAAAAAAAGTAAGAATAATGTAACAAATAATCATGTATCCACCATCCAGAGTTAACACAAGTACAAATTTAGTCATTTTTGCTCTGGACTTTTTTCTATTAAGTACAGCAAAATGGAAGGGGCCCTCCCTCTCTGCCCCGAGTCAGCCAGTTTCCTCAACGCGCCGTGTTTGCTTCCAGTGACTGGTTTGCACACACTGCTGCTCTCTCCACACACACACACACACACGTTCACGTCTGGAACCCGCTATCGGGCCCCTCAACCTGACCAGATGCTGCCAAACTGCCCTTCCAGGTGGCTGGACCGGCGTGCACTCCCGCCGGCAGTGTGTGAGTTTCTGTCTCCCCGGCCCCCCCAGCCTCAAACTCGGCAGACCTTCTGACGCCTGCCAGTCGGCTAGGCGTGAAACAGTGCCTCACTGCAGTCCAACGTGCATTTCTCTAGCGATTCCTTCTGCTACCACCAATCGCTAACATTTACTGAACACTTACTTTTGCCACATGTTGTACCACACGCTTTAGGTATATTAATTCATTTAGTCCTCCCAACCACAGGAGATGGGGACTATTCTTGTCTCCATTTTACAGATGAGGAAACTGAGGCACAGAGACATTAAGTTACTGCCTAGGGTTCACAGAAGAGGCAGAGCCAGGATACAGGCCTGGCTGGCTGAAAAGTTTACATTATTCCCCTAGCTACACCCTCGCTTCTCCAAAGCGTGATCCTCGGACCAGCAGCATCCAGGTCATCTGGGAGCTGCTTAGAGATGAGGTCTCATCCAGACCTACCAAACCAGACCCTGCGTCTTACCAGATCCCAGGAGATCTGGAAGCATGCTCACTTTGAAAAGCCCTGCCGTCCCCACTGCTCTGCTGCCCTTTCTTGTGCATCCAACCTCCGCCTTTCCTCCCTGGAGGAGTGCTTTTTCCCATCTGTCACCCATTTTTCTGTGGGTGGCTTTTCTTTTTCGTGTTGATTGATGGATGTCTTTCTGCAGGATTTGAATCACTTGTTACATAGGTTATATATTGCTCTCCCAGTCTGTGGCTTGTCTCTTGCCCAGGGTGACTTCCGCTGGCTCTCTCTGCCTTTCTAAATCCAGTTCTTGCTAGGACCAGGTAAAAATCTCACTTCACGAAGCCTTCCTCAACTCTCCCAGCTGCCCTGGATTTACCTTTCTCTGGATTCCTCGCGGTCTGGGGCTCCATCCCAGCCTGGCTGTGGCTGGGAGACCCTCTGGACACGAGATCAGCAGACGCCAGCTGGAGCCAGACGGATCTAGGTTTTCATCCCAGTCTTGCCAAACTGAAGCCTAGCTAATTCAAGGCCTCAAGTCACAGCTTCTGTCTCAGTTTCCGCATCTGAAGAATGGGGGTGAGAATACTTGGCTCAGAGCTGTGTTAGGATGAAGTGAGTGCATATATGTGAACACGTTCTGCACCCTTTGAGGGTGCAATATTGTTTCTGGATGCCTTGCTTTCTTTACGATTACAGAGATCCACTGGAGGGCTGGGCTGGCTCCTTAGTCCAGGGCCCACCTCGGGGTCGAATGCCAAGTGGGCCCCGCAGTTCGACTGACCCAGGGAGCCGAGAGACCTGCTGCTAGACTGCCCAGGGCTGAGGCCAGGCCCACCTCAGCGTCCATCCCACCTCCCCTCTCCACAGCCCTGGGCGCCCTGGCTGGCCGCCACTCCTCTCTGAGACTCTGCTTCCTCCACTCTAAAATGGAGGTGTGAACCCCACCCTGCTCTCCTAGAGGGGGATGAAGGACCCGCTGAAGGTGAGAGGGAGAGTCCTACAACCGGCTTTGCAACAGTCACGGAAATCAACAGACAAACTCCCTTGTGAAACATCCAAGTAGATGATGTCACGAGACAGCATTATAATATTGTTTAATGCACATGATCCAAATTTTACTGATGTTGACACACTCAAGCAGTATTATTAGCAGACACGGGGCTCCAATACGGACTGCATCACGGCGTAGCTGAGGGAACAATCTCAAGAGCTTTTGTGGAAAGCTCTCATTTCTAATCAGTCACTGATTTCTTTCTACCCAAGCCTTCAATTATTGCTGTTCCAACGCTGCAAGACAATTCAAGCATAGAAAGCCCCAAGAGCAGGAACATAGCCCAAATACTTTAGAATTGAACAAACATCAATACTTTACTCAAAATGACAAAGTAAAATCAGACAACCTCTAAATCAGGGGTTCAGTGAACTTGGATGGGAAAAGAATTAAATCTTTATTTTCACTAACTTCTAACTGAAACACATTATTTCCTTCAATTATGAACGTAGGAACCACCGACAGTAGTATTGGCATTACCTGCGACTTCATCACCAATAGAGATCACATTTAGATATCACGTGACAGTGGTTGCATATATTTCAAAGTAATCTGAAATTATTCTGAAATCACAGTTTTAGAACCACCACTAGACCTTGTTATTTTATGTGTTAATAAAGTACATATATAACTGTATCACAAAATTTTGAAAATATTTTAATAACTGTATTTTAATATAATTAGTTTCTTTTGCAAGCCTTCATATTTAGTCTTATGAGTTTGAAAACATTATTCTGAGAAGGGGTCCATAGGCTTCACCAAATCACCAAAAAGGTCCATGGCATGAAAAAGGTTAAGAACACCTGCTCCAAACAATAAGTCATTAACATCACAGGAAGAGAATACTTAATAGCGAAATATATGAAG